TCTACAATTTCTTAAGACCACTGCTGTCGTCAAGACTACTGTTGGAAAATCATACAATTCCAGAGGCGTGGTTATTTCATTTTTTTTTAGAATTGGATTATTTTATTCTAAATGAATTCTCTCATTATGTCTCTGTTAGTGCCTTTGTCTTTCTGTAATTTCGTAATTACGCGATCTTACCTTACTATTATGGGAATATAGGTACGTGACTTCCTACGATTAAAGCTTTTACCGGAATCAATTTCTTAAATCCACACATATCATTCAAAAATGTCATGTCATGTCAAAATCATACTTGTCATGTTCAACGGTAGCTGTTAGTCGCTTTTCTTTTTTAACAGGAGTAGCAGTGGGCAATCGTTGAACGTATTGTGGTGCGTGAGAAAAAACTAGCAAATGGTTTTAAACCTCCAGTTGCAAATCAGCGCTGGCGAAAATCTGTTAAGTTTAAGAAAAAAATCCTCCGCAGAACTTTACATTCATTTTTCTTTGAAAATAGGGCTCCAAGTCTCAAATCTACGTGGATTATTATAAAAACATAACAAGATCTTAACTTTCGATATAAAAAACGATGCCGGAATTAAATGTTAACAGATAAGGAGGAAATTATATCATGGCGACGTACTTATAGTAATTATCTACGTACGATTCATAAATATCGTGTGACAAAACGAAAAATTTATTACCTCGACGAGATTTAGCTAACGCCGGACATACAGTCACCAAAGTTTAACAAGATAGAACTGTAACAAATGCACAACAAGCCTTTGTTAAAGGTTTAATGACAAAATTGTGAGCGCCGTCAGAAAGAGCTGCTTCTAACTGTCGCTCATATTGGCAGCGATACTGGTTTTCTGCAAAATGGTGTTCCTGTTTTTATATAGAAGAAAATTGAGGACTATCATGAAGACATAAACTCCATATGATTCGAGAAGGGGTTTGAGAACATTCTCCAGCATACAGATAGTAACTCTGTTGTAATTTCTTACATGTCATAAAATTTAAAACAAAGAGACTTTAAAAGAAACAAAAGCAAAAACGAGCTCACAATTTAAAATTGATTACACAACCTAAATTACACAGGTAGTAGCATCAATGAATCACCTGCAAATGCATTACTTTACAAAGCAATTCAGCCTATCTGTAAACTGATTTTCAAATGATAAATCTAGCAGACCTAGATAGATAAGAATAATATCCAGAGTTTATTCAGTGGTGGGTAATTTGGAAAGGTTTGATAAGCCTGGTTTGTCTAAAAGGGACATGGAGGTAATTTTTGCATAGTATTGAAAGAGGAAGTTATTAATAAGAAAATACCAGTATTAGTAAGTCAGTAACATATAGAGGATACATCATTTATGTTTTTTAAATAACGTAACATATAAAATCAGAAATTTGATGTTTGTTGAAGGTAAACTAAATTCACGAACAAATACTTACAATGTCGGGATAGTATTATGAGGTTTTTTTCCTGGTTTTCCCTCATAATTTACTATGGAATCACTAACAGGAGAATTTTACTGTCATCATGTCATGTGTTTGTCTTTTTAAAGACGAATTACATGCTATGATTTTTTTCTGACGGATATTCTCAAGTTAAAGTTGATTTCATGTAATCGAATGAACTATCTTATAAGTAAAGTCGTCCCAGGAGCGCAACTCAACAATATTGGCAATATCATTTTAAAGTCGTCTACTTTAAAATGCATAATGTATGTCTGAATTGTCAATATAAAAGTCAGATAAAATTAAATTATATGAAGAATTTTTCACTATGTAACAAAAAACAAAATTTGTTTAATTTACTGTTTGTATTTTGAGAACGATTTCCGAAGTGGAAATTGAAACGTCAATAAACGTATTTTTATCTTTAATTGTGGCTTATTCCCAGTTTAATAGTAATTAATTTACTTACTGATATTAATAAAATCCGTAACACATCGTTTGATAATGCCCAGCATTTAAAGTGACTTCGATATGAGCAGTATGAATGACTGAGTGGAATCAAGGGCAACACCTAAATCCTTAACTTGGGTTAAAGATTCTAAAGCACAACCTTTTATAGTAGAGATTTGGTTGGTGGGGTTTCTGCTACAACTAAAGTCCATTAACTGGCACTTTTAACATTGAATTCCATACCATTTATTTCACACCAGTGGTTCAAATGGTTCAAATCTGCTTGTAGGTCATGGTAATCATAGATATTCATGATCTTATAAAGTTTTAAATCATCTACGAACATGAGAGAGTGTGAATGAACAAAACAGGAAACAATATTATTAAAGAGAAGAGGACCTAGGTGCAAAGCTTGAGGTACACCAGATGGTACCTCTGTCTCATTTGATTTGATGCCTTGAATACACACCATTTGTATTCTGAAAAGTTGCCACTGAATACCTAAACTACGTAAATTATTAATTAAAACTTTATGGTTTACATGATAAAACGCCTTTGTACAGTCCTTATACTAGAGATGCCACTTTGGAACAGGATCTGTTCTTTTCGAAACAGGTTGGAACAGATATTGATCAATAAGTTTTCCTGTTCCAATATAACAGTTTTTTATCACACAACAGACCAGTGTATTTACAATTACTTCAGAGACCAGTGTTGCATTGCTGTGCTTTTATATGGTTGTTGCAGTTCCAGTGGAGTGGAAAGTATGTGCATGCGCATAAACCATGATTGTAAACTGTGAATTGTCGACTCATGACAAAACTTCAAACTTTCAAAATATACAACCAGAAATACAATGGTCTATTGTTAATGCAACATCCTTTCTGGAACAAACCGAACCGGTACTGAAACAACCCATAACACAGTGTTAGACTTGGAACAGTTTGGAACTGAAGCAGTTTTTTGAAACAGATAATTTTTGGAACTGAAACAGGTTGTAACAGTTGTTGAAAAATCCCTGTTCCAACCATCCCTACACACAGTATAACCTTCGGTACCTTCTCCAAAGGTTCCAAAATAAATCAGTAAAAGTCAATACATTAAGCTCAGTTGGCCAGTGATGATAAATAGCCAAAAATAAGATTGTCCAATATTTTTGTAATACAAGTAAATATGCACTTAAGAATGATTTTTTCTATATTTGTGTTAGAGATCCTAGGTATGAAAATGATAATTAGAAATCACTGATAATTATTATTCTTTCTGCAATATATAAAAGGCTTATTTACAACTAGAATAAAATTGTGAGTCAAGTAACCAAGTAGGCCAGACTTCACTGTAAATAATCTAGTTTCTACAAGATCAATTATTGTTCAAACACTTATCACACAACAAAAAGGATAACGTAACAGTATATTATAATAGTATAAAGTCTAAATAGATCTGCTACTTAGACAAGAATATGCTGATGTATCAGATATACCTATAGATGAATGATTTCCCTCCCAGTGTTACTAAGTCCATAGAACTCTCTTAATCGAGTGTATACACTTAAAAAACCAAAATATAAATAGTTATAAATAAAATTGTTTTTACTAATGACCAGTATATTTGGCCATTAGTTATATTAATAGATTAGTTTATCAAAATAAATGTCTCAAGTAAATTCAAATTTTCATGTAGACAATACTTTTAAGAGGAGTTCATGAAATGCCACTGAATTATGCTGAATAAATTTTAATTTGCTAAAACTTATCCTGAAATGTCTGTTGTTACAGCTGGCTCATAATAAAGGTCTGAATGTTACTCATGAAAATGTATGGAGAGCTACTAAAATGTTGTTAACTAATGTTGTTTATTATTTGATTTGCACCTTCAAAATTAGTTTTTATCATGTTACATATGTGATTCATCATCCCCAATTTCTTGTTGTCATAACAAATCACATTGCTTAAACTTTTGCGATTTTAAGGTTTTTCAAAGGTAAGAAAGACAAATCCTCACATAAAGATCCCCACTGCTTGTACTTTTCTAAAATATTAACCATTGAATAGCCATTTATTTAATATTTTGGAGGCCAATTGCTATTTTTTTGAGTTGAAACTAAGTACTCTTAAAATGCTATAAAATGAATGAATTTCCTGAAATTCTTCAAAAGAGGTTGGTTTCATTCCATGCTATAAATCTAATTGTGCCTGACAAAAACACAACAAAGGGTATGTAGTTCAAATTAATTAATAGGTAAAAACAATATAATGATTGTTTACTTACAACATAATCTTTTACTGCATACAATTTTTGGAAGAAATTTGAGAATGAAATGTATCTAAATGGTAAAAAGTATAGCACACCTGGTCCATCAAATGGAGGGTTGTTATTCTAATTAGATTTTATTAAATAACTTCCTGTACAATACTATTAAATATTTTCCGATCCAGAAAACAATGTTGGGTATTTTTAACAATATTATTGATAAAAAGAATTTAGACATCTCACAGTTAAACTGTAGGGGGTATGAAATAAAGATTTATTAAAATATCTACCTATTAAGATTTATTCATTATAAAGAATATTATTTATTATATAGAATAAAGTCTTTTATGATGAATTTCACTTTTATTTTCTACCTTCATGTCATGATTGTTTTTAAATGTGTATTCAGCTATTTTTGACAAAAGTCCAAAAACTATAGTCCAACAATTACTTATATGATAAAGGTTTTTATTGTCATTGCCAATTCTGTGAAAATTAATTCCTTGCCGATTCCAAGGTGCATCTTCTCTACTTAGAACTTAAAAATGTGCGGAATTTACCAGCAATAATACATTATAACTTAGAAGACCTTGTTAGTTGACTCAAGGTCTTTGCTATGAATATCATAACAGAAATAAACAATTGATTTCGATTTTTTTGCAGGTGAACAAAAAATTTAACAGGAACAATATTTGGATTATGTATTAACAAAACTTAATTTGATTGGGTTTGTACGTTTTTCATTTCGGAATACTGAGAATAGCGAATAGCGCTTTTGATATAAAATTGATTAGAATACCCTAAACAATGAGTCACACTTATTTACACTGCATTAAATATGCGGTACTTACCAATTGCGGAAAATCACCTCTGGTTACGATCCTGATGCAAATAAAAGGCGCAAGAAGCGGGGATCCCTTCAACACCACTTTTTCCGGAAAAGCGTTGTACAGCGTTAAACCCAAACAGTTGAAAATCACTTGGGGCAGAGGTAGAAAAGTAAGAAATCTTAAAATATAGAGAAGTGTAGCCCCGAAAACACCGTACTGTATCCATGGATTCAACTCTGTCGGCGGTACAAACACCCCTTCTCCGAAACTCTTTATGCCCCCAGTAAATATTTCGAAAAAGATTATCACATTTAGAAATAGAAGGCAATGTAAATAGTGTTTTGCTTTACTGGAGAGCATCGTAATTTCCTTAGTTTCGAACGAATTTACCTAACTACATCCCACCAAAGGTGGTGGTTGAATACTGAAAGAGCGAGAGGAAACGAACCAAAATTTAAAGTGAAACAATCTTATCTGCTGTCAAAATGGGCAAGTGACTTATGACGTAATCCAGCATTGACATGCTGCATAACCGTTATTTTTTTTACTCGAGACTACATAGGCGGAACACTAATATTTATTATCAAATAAATAAAATAATACAATAATTTCATTTACTCATCTAAAACTATTTCTAAAAATGTTTATATTTAGATGAGAACATAATCATAGGATTATGCTAGTTGCTTTGTTTTAGTGTATTAATAAGTGAGTACCAAGGCACCTCACAAATAAAAGTTTACTACAACATTGTTTGGACATAGTCCATAAAACAAATATAGAAATGGGGTACATACCATTCAAAAGCGAATGTAATATCCAATTGTTAAGTGATGTATGAATTTTTGAACTATTTAGTATAGTTTGTGACATTATTTTTTAATTTATTATTCGATTTCATAAAAATATAAAATCTTACTATACATTCAACTCTTTTAAATAATATTACAAAACGCCTATGGATTCTCGTGAAAATTAAAGGTCCCTTTCAATTTATACATAAACAAGAATTTACAATTTAAAATGTCAAAATTTGTTCAAAAAGAAAAAACTGAGATTTGTTACAGTACCTGTTAAAATATCTTTAATGCAAAACTCAAAATACATTTTTCAAAACGTTCAAACTCCGTTTGAGTTGAAGATCCAAATTCTAGGTCAGTGAGATAAGTAGTCAGTTCTCCAAACAGTGGCGGAGTACAGAAAAAATAATAAATGAATATTCTATATTATAATAATTAATACATTTTAAAAGAAATAATAGCTACATTGTAGAAATTGTAGGTTCTTAGGGTTTTGAGATTTATTCAAAAATATATTAGGTAATATATTGCTCAAATTTACTTCGATAGAGTGTGAAATGTTATATATACTCATATTAAAAATAACAATGTTATGAGCAACTCCTTAAAACCTTACACATGACGGATTATTTTAGAACTGAGTGAGAAAAGAAAAATTCCAAATGAAACACAAATACTGAACAAAAGCAATAGTTTATAAGGAGAACAGCACTTTATTATTTATACATTAGGAAACATAGGAAACTCAATATAATGTTCAAATTTTATTCAAATAGTTAAACGTTTGTTTTCTGAAAGAATGAATACTTCGTACTTTTATACTTTTTATATAACTAGCATATCTTAATATTATATGTACTAGGGTTTTTATTAACATTTTTATTGTTTCTCTATTTATTGTAAGTTTCTAAAAACGTTTATAGCCCAGGCTGTGGTGGAAAAAAGGGTGATTTGACACTGTAAAAGTGTCAAATCTTCTTCAGGAGAACAAAGAAAAGAAGCTTTCTTTGTTCTCCTGAAGAAGCTACATACAATTGTAGCGAAACGTCGAGATGAACCCACTTGTGGGTCACTCACAAATGACACGGTCCAAACCCGGAAGACGAATAAACTATAATTCTGACTCTGGCCGTGGAAGCCTACGATTTCATTTGATTTCGATGTTTTTTTTATCTGGGGTAGCTCGTCTAAATAATAACATCTGGAATACTTTCACCCTTAAAAAACCAACACCAACTCCCCTAAAATTTATTTTAATATTTAATTTTTTTTCAATCATTTTACTTTTATAATACTATTAAACGTAATCTACTATCAAATTATTATTGAGAACATCCCCATGAAACATCCCCATTTCCAAAAAAATTAATATTCTAAAATATAGACTACTATTATTTCCGTATTTATCCTTTTTGTTTAAATACTTACTCTGCCTCGCTGTGTAATCTTTTATCAGTGAAAATTATGTTAAAGTAAAGTTCAAATGAATAAAATTTCTATTTAAAAACAATCTATTTTCCAAAAAAACTCAAAAAATTGATTTTAAAAACTTTTGGTTAAACTAGATTTTTAATAAAATTTCATGAGAAATTAAATAATTGGTTTAATAAATTAAAATAAACGTCATGTATACGTATATCTTAAATTGCAAATTACTTTGATAGAAGGAATAAATTGGTAAAACAAAGATATAAACAGTAAAATAATTGTAATTTATTTATATTATTTTAAAATGAGATTAAATATTTATAAAATCAGAAATATGCTTAGTTTTTATTTATTTTTATTTTTTAGTAGGTTGTACAATTTCCTCAGAATCATTAACAATTCATCCAAAACATCCATCTCACTTTCACATTCTTTTTCTGCGTCATCTAGTTCATTCAGCAGTATGACAATTTTCGTAAACTCTCTCCATTACGAATATTTTCGCACATTCTCGTACATTTTAGGCAGTGCATACGGCATTCGTAATGTTTGCCACAAGCAGTTTTGGTGCTACATTGAACCCTAGGCCACATTACATAAATTCCTAGATTATAGAGTAATTTTTCCCCCAACAGCCTGGGCTATTACGATTTATTAATTTGAAAAGGTGTAACTTTTAATGAAGCCCCTTTATTGAACCTTTAAATAACTACTACTGTCTTATAAAGGAAGCACAGTTATTATCAATATTGTTTGAATTGATTTAACCTTTGATTCATTGTTCCAATAAAATTTTATTATCACACTACATAAAATCCGTCCAAGGGACGCCTATGTGTGAATCTTCAGCTACAGTATCCCTGCGCATTATTGATTATCCAGTGACAAACAATTGTCTACTAAGAAATTGTACAACTTTTTAGAGATACTTCGAACTGTCAGTCTAGTTAATCCCCATCCACATACACACATCTGATTATTTTTCCAGTTTATTCCAGTAGTTGCAATAATTCTTTGGTTACATTTGATAGGAGAACCATCGACGACTTAGTCGGCCGGTTGTGTTATGGTATGTAAACTTATGATTGCGAACGACTCTGATAATGGATCCACCCGGACTCCGGAGTATCTAAATCAAACGCATCTCAAGGTTCGAGTTGGTTGTGTCGTTGTCAGGAATTTCGTACCTTCGGGCTTTTAGACTTTTTTTTATTTCTGAAAACAAAATAAATATTGAAGCAATAAAATTCTGTTAAGTTGAACTAGTTTATTCTAATTTCGAGCGAGTGAAGACGGTACTATTAGAACAGCAAGTGTGGATACAGTGATCAGGCGAAAAACTAGGTAAATAAAAGATAATTTCATTTTAAGTCATTAAGTAACGTTAACTTTATTAGTACGTGTCTGGTAAGGGTGTACTATGCAATGGCAATGCCAAATTGCATTGAAAGTGGGATTTAAAGTAAGGCATTTGGCTTTTTTTATTGTACAGGTTTTGTGAAAAAGTAGGCAGGTAGTTCCAAAACAGGTACTCACCTACATGTCAGAATCACGCGGGATCAAATAGACTCTATTAAAAAAGCTATTGAGGTAAACATCTATCATGATTTCTTTTTGGAAACTGTATTATGTACTCCTTGCTTTATTGCATACAGTGTGTTTCAACAAAAAGCTTCAACCATTCATTATATACTTCAATGATACACATATAGATGCCAAACCGATTTTTTAAATGCGTTTGACAGATGTAATTTTAAAGTTCTTATGACCAAGCTTGCAGTGCAGTGTTGTTATTTAATAACAAGCCAATTTCATGTCTCTAAAGTTTACTATTGGAAAGAACACATGGATCTAACTGGACACCACATCTGTTTTTGTGGTTTTTGCCTGCATTTTTAATACCTGCATTATTTAAAGTGTGTACTGTTAGATGATTTGAAATTATGTAGTTATTTCTTGTGAGACTGATGTAATTGACAGATCGGTTTAAGTGCAATGTGCAAATGAATACAGGGTACCTAAATTTAATTCAAACCACAGGTTGCCAACTGCTTATATTGCCAATAAATCCAATCTAAGATACAAGGAACAAACAGTTAATTTTTTCTGACATACTTTTCCAGAGAAAATAGGAATCTGTTTGGAAATTGTGCTCATTTCCCAGCAATTTTATAGATAAAACTCTATACACTTCACTTATGAGGTGTCACCTGGATCATACATAAGTTTTTTGGTCTCCCTTTAGTTATACTCACAAGGATGTAACATATTGAGCTCTATATTGGAATGTATTAGGGTACAGACAAGCAACATGTCCAAGTGTCCTTAAGAAAGCCTTAGAAAAAGGAATTCTGCAAATATTTCTTTACCTTTTTCTAGAAATCTCATGACTTGTTTTGGATTTTACTCATATTTTGTATGAAAAACTGTTTTCTTTACTGATTTACAATGTTTCAACAATTGATACCAGTTGGTTTTAAGATTTCTATTTGTCCAGTGGTTAATTTTTATTTAAGGTACATATTAGAAGGCTAAAAATGCATATTTTCAAAAAAAAAACATTTTTTTCTCAGCTCCTTTAAAGTATTAGTTGATATGAACTTGAATTTTTTTAAATACTATGTTATTTTTGAGTTAAACAATAAAGTTTTGTTTTTAGTTCCCATGAATAGCCCATTTTGTAGAGGGGGCCTAAGTTAATATCTCAAAAAAGGTTTCTCATGACAGGCACAAATTTTCAGGTTTGATAAATCAAACAAAAAAAGTCCAAGGGTAGTATCTAAAGAAACCAAAGAAAGAAATTTGTTTTGAACATATGCTTTTTTTAGCTTTCTAATCTGTATATTTTAAATATATTTTATTTTTTAATTTTATAAAGATTTGTAGGAATGTTTCTAAAATAGTTTCTGGAATGTATTGACAAGAGCATTACTCCAGAATCTGCTGTCAGGGAGCAGCACAGTTTATTGAAATTAAAAATTAAAAATTTCTCTGTATCTGCCCTAATGATCCTAGATATAATTTGATTAATGTGATTTGAAAAGGATAATTTGGAATCAATCAAAACATGGTTATCCATTTTATTCCTACATACCAAATAATCCTATACTATAATCCTGGAGAATTCACCAGTTTTCTGGGTGTTATTTAGACAATACTCACCTCCTGTGCTTCTCCTCATCTCCTCCATGTGATGAGGAGGAGCACAGTGATCACAGAACAA